ATACTTACACATAAACAAATTTTAAACAGTATCGAAGCCCCTGGGAATGGTTGCACCGGTATTATTGTAAGTTTTTTGATAACTAAGTATATACATTGTTACCTTCGTACAAAGTAATACTTTTGGAGTGACTATGTATGCTGTTTAAGATATTTTGCTGTGTTATTGAGAGAGTTTTTTTTTTAATTAGGGCTGTATATGTTTAAATAAATAATTTACAAATAGATATGTGTATAACCATGGCTGCAGAGATCATCATTCAATGAAAACAAATTTGAAACTTCTAAATATAAATATAGAAGTCAAGGTTCTTAATTTTTTGCATTAATATATTCATATGTGAATAGATAAAGATAAGATTATTTATCTATTGTCTTCACTTATATTGCAAGTTATATATAAGTCGATACAGATTGAAAATTACATGACACCAATATTGTTGGTGTGTACTATTAATTTCAACTATGAAGCTTACATTAAATAATATTGCAACATGTTTTTATATATATATATAATATATATATATGTATATGTATATGTATATGTATATGTATATGTATGTGTATATGTATATGTATATGTATATATGTTTTGTAATGTATATAATTACATATACATTACAAACAATTTGTTGCATAATTCAATATATAGCTCTGATTCCGTACGTTATAGTTTTAATTAGCGTCAGATATACTTACATAAAAATAAATAATATATGAATAAGAATTAACTTTAGGATTATTATATTAAAAAAAAGTTTTTTTTAAATTAATATTAATTTTCATGCGTATTTCATAGTTTCGTTGCTGGAGTTATACTACGTGAACGCATTCCTGCATTCGAACGCATGCTATGGCGTGCATGTCGTGGAAATGTATTTTTACGTCAAGCTGAGATTGAAACACCCTTGGAAGATCCTTCAACAGTATGTAATAAAAATGGATAATTTTTATGTAGATTAATAGTAAATCTTATTACTCTTGATTTTTTTTTTTTTTTTTTTTATTTTTTTATTTTTTAGGGAGACCAAGTTTTTAAATCGGTGTTTATTATATTCTTCCAAGGTGATCAATTAAAGACACGAGTTAAAAAAATTTGCGAAGGTTTTAGGGCAACTTTGTACCCCTGTCCTGAAGCACCAGCCGATCGACGGGAAATGGCTATGGGAGTAATGACACGTATTGAAGACTTAAATACGGTAAATATTTGTAATGCGAGAGAGTTAGGTCGAACATTAGATAAATTTTTTAAATTGAGATATCTAAATATAATATCTAAGGAAAAACAACACATTTTTGAAAAGAAAAATTATTTGTCTAAATGTTTCAAACAAAAGCTGTTTGTTTTCTCGTACAAAATAAGTTGGATCTTGAAATGATCTTGAAACAGAAAAAAATAATGTTAAAAATCAAAATCAAAGAATTTTTGTTTCAAACTTTTTTTTCAATAATCCGTTGTTTTCAAGATATTTAAGCGTCTCAATATAAAAGTCTCATTCTGTATATATGATCCAAAAAAGGATATATATATATATATATACACACACGTAGTATTCCATATTAAATGGAAAATATTTTAGGGATGATTTCACCTCAAAAAATTCGACTAAAATACAATGACACTACGTCCATTTAACAAAAAACTTATTATGATACAAAATACTCGATTATTTTACTACTCATAATTCGAAAACAAAGTCAAATAGAATATATGGTTATATAATTTTTTTTTTATTGTTTTGATGTGTTAAAGTCGTCCCTAAAATATTTCTCATTTATTCTTGAACATTCTATATATATTAGAACAAATAAGAATAATAAAATAAAAAATATATTATATAAATATAATTTATATATGTATATATATATTTTTTTTGTTTCATTTTTATCTGTTCATGTTTCTAAAAGACAAGAAAATCTTTATAGGTACTTGGTCAAACTCAAGATCATCGTCATCGTGTCTTAGTAGCTGCAGCGAAAAATATCAAAAATTGGTTTGTCAAAGTTCGGAAAATAAAAGCTATTTATCATACATTAAATTTATTCAATTTAGATGTCACTCAAAAATGTTTGATAGCGGAATGTTGGGTACCTGTATTAGATATCGAGACGATTCAACTTGCCTTGCGTCGTGGAACGGTAACATCACTTTTCTATTATATTTATTATTACATTTATCTAAATATATTATTTATTATTATTTATATAAAAAAAATGTATTTTATAGGAACGTAGCGGTAGTTCTGTATCTCCTATCTTAAATCGTATGGAAACATTCGAAGATCCACCGACTTACAATCGTACAAATAAATTTACTAAAGGTTTTCAAGCTTTGATTGATGCATATGGAGTTGCATCCTACAGAGAAATGAATCCTGCGCCATATACGATAATTACTTTCCCATTCTTATTTGCTGTCATGTTTGGTGATCTTGGACATGGATTGATTATGTTTCTATTTGGTGGATGGATGGTGTTAAAGGAAAAACCATTAGCGGCTAAAAAATCTGACAATGAAATATGGAATATCTTTTTTGGTGGCAGATACATTGTTTTCTTAATGGGATTATTTTCGATGTATACAGGATTTATATACAACGACGTATTTTCTAAATCTTTAAATATTTTCGGGTCACATTGGAATATCACTTATAATTTCACGACCGTCCATTCAAATAGAGCTCTGCAGTTAAATCCAAATACAACGGAATACGAACAGAATCCTTACCCAATTGGTTTGGATCCTGTATGGCAATTAGCCGAAAATAAAATTATATTCTTAAATTCCTATAAAATGAAGATTTCAATAATCTTTGGTGTATTACATATGTTGTTTGGTGTCATTGTTGGATTATGGAATCATATGTATTTCAAGAAAAGGATAAATATTACTTGTGAATTTATTCCTCAGATTATATTTTTAACAGTACTTTTCTTATACATGGTTGTACTCATGTTTATTAAATGGATAAAGTATCATGCAACCTTAACATCAGGTAATCTTATTAACAAATAATTATAAATACATAAATCTTTCTTTTTTTATATTTATATACAGAAACATTACTACGTTATTATTTTTATAGAAATTCGTCCTAGTCCTTATTGCGCACCATCAGTATTAATTACATTTATCAATATGGTACTTTTCAATAAACCTGTACAATTGAAAGGTTGTGACAAATGGATGTATGCTGGTCAAGATGGATTCCAGAAATTTTTAGTTGTCGTAGCTGTCATTTGCATTCCATGGATGTTATTAGCTAAGCCAATTACATTTATGCGTAATGCAAAGAAACAACATTATCAAGTATGTATATATAATTATAGCATATATAACTATTGTAATAAACAAGGTGAAGTACTTAATATATTTTAATATTACTAATTTGTCATTATACTTAATGCAGTTAAACAATCATGGTGCCGAAAATGGTGACGTAGATGGTAATGTCGGTGCGGTGCAACCAACAGCAGGTGTTCAAGGTAATCATAAAGAAGAACAAGAAGATATGGCTGAAGTATTCATACACCAAGGCATTCATACTATCGAATATGTACTTGGTAGTGTCTCGCATACTGCATCATATTTGCGTTTGTGGGCTTTATCTCTTGCTCATGCACGTAAGTAGGGATACAAATAACATTTTCTTCTTTTATTTTTTATAAAGAATCTTTAACACATATACATACAAACATAAATTTTTAACAGAACTCTCAGAAGTATTATGGTCAATGGTAATGAGGAATGGATTAACCAGAGAAGGTTGGATTGGTGGTATTATTCTTTGGGCAGTATTCGCATTTTGGGCTGTTTTGACAGTTGGTATTTTAGTTCTGATGGAAGGACTTTCAGCTTTCTTACATACTCTTCGTCTCCATTGGTAAGACAAAATAATGTTAGAATGAAATAAATATGAATATATTTTTTTATGACTTTCTAAATAGAAATTATATACAAAGTATAATATTTATATTTGAAGAAAATAATATTATATATTATTTATTTCTTTCTGTACAGGGTGGAATTTCAGAGCAAGTTTTATGCTGGTTTGGGTTATAGTTTCCAACCATTTTCATTTGAAATTATATTAGATGCCGCTCAATCGACTACCGAGGATTAAAGGCTTTAATTGAAATAATTAAAACGCTATGAATTACATAGAAAACAAACGTCTATATTTCCAGACTATAAAACAATATATAAAAGAAACTTGTAGTGTAATTATTGTTCCAAATAATTTCTATAACTTGTAAATGTTTATCATTGATAATGTATTTGATTAATACGTGTTTTAGCAAAAAACACGATAATAATATTGAATAAAAAAATAAGAAAAAACATTTTACAATATATTATATTTAAATATAGACAAAAAACATTAGTGTGTCAATAATATCTCTCTTATTATAGATGTTTTGTGTGATTGAGTTACATAGAATCAATGAATCAGAACGTGCTGTTGTACAAATATTTATTATGTATTATATATAACATAACTATACACATAATCTAAAAGTTAAATAAAACTTCCGTAACATAAAGCATGCAACTGATATTAATTTAACACAGTGTGTTATAATTTAATTTTACAATAGATTGTACTTTTAGTGAAAAATTCGCCAATGTATGTTGTATTTAGCTTTCAAAACAATGTATGTAATGAGCTATAATTAATAGGCTACAAAATACATATTTCGCGGCATAATTTCTTTGACATATCGCCTCCCATTGAACACTTGCGTTCAGCGAACACAACTTTTTATATAAACATTTTCATATAAATATTTAAATTAAAAAACGTTCAAATTTAACTGATAAATTGAAAAAAAAAATAAATACAAAACGATTTCTCATACGTTCATCGCGTTAAAGTGTAATAGATGCGTAAAGTTAAAAAAAAAAAAAGAGAAAGAGGATGAAAAGAGAAGAAAAATCTGCATCAAGATTAGCGCATGCGCGGTAGACTTTATCCGATGGGTTGAAGTATACATAGTCTGCGAAATTTCGCGTTGTCGTTCAGTCGGCGGAGATTCCTAACGAACGGTGAAGTGTATCCGTTAACTTCTTTTTCTTAAAAAGAAACTTTTTATTTGTCTCTTGTATCTTCTTATCGTCGTGTTGTCATTGTTACACGATTTTCTTTATTCTTTTGTCTCTTGTTTTTGGCTTCTTCTTTAGATAAATAAGATGGAGAAGAAAAACGTCTGCATCATTGGCTCTGGAAATTGGTAAGTATGTTGATGGAAATAAAAAATAGAGAGAGAGAGAGAGAGAGAGAGAGAGAGAGACAACAGACACAAAGAGACAAAGATAGATAGAGTTCTAATATTTATCGAACGGAAGATGGGAGGATGGAGATAAGAGGAAGAGAAAAGAAGCAATTGTTCATTGATTTGCACGTGTTGGTTGAAGGTTACTTCTACTTTTTCACATGAGATTATTTCTTGAAAAATCAACAAATAGAATAATCAAATTCTTTTCAAATGTTACAATATTTCTTTAGTATTTTTATCTAACTTCATACTTACCTTCGAATTTGAGCGGCTAAAAACGATGTGCAAATTAAACTATAATTATTTCTTCTCCCTTATTTCTCTTTCTTTTAATATATTATAAAAAAAATAACAAAATCTCTTTTACAAACATATAAATATCTGAATAGCGTTTCAACGATATTTTATTACTATTAATATTACTATACTTTTATTATTATTAATGATATTATATTAGATAAATATAAAAATTGTAACAAGGCGTAATCAATTTTGTCCCTGACTTTATGATCGTTTGCTAGTAACTTGTTAATATCTCATACATATTCTTACATAGCCCGATTCTATTGCCACATCTGTTATTTTCCAGGAGAAAAAACGCGTATAGATAACACTTGTTTTTCTACATCCAATCAAATTTCATTTTGTGAAGGAAAATTTTACTGTGTTAACATAGGCATATATATATATTTTTGGTATATTAGAAAGGTTTAGTTTAAAGTTTTTATCGTTACGTAATCTTTCGTTTATATATGCAAATGAGAAATACATTAGTTATTTTATTTGGAAAATTTATGTGAATATTGGCTGATGGTAATCAGAAAAAGATAAACATAGTTTATTCTATCGAAGGTTACGTATAACTTTATCGATAATCGTTAACTTAATGGATAAGAGAAACTGAAATACATACTTGAAATTTACTAAAATTGTTTATCTTATCCAGAGGCGTATCTCTGGCATAAACAGTGCCTAGACAAGCACGGAAGTTATTCTTTTTTCTTACATGCATATCATTCTAATTTAATCTTTTCTTCTCCACATCGATTTTAAATCTACAGAAAAACAAAAGACCACTTCATTATTACAACGCGCTTCTAATAACAATCATTCAGAATCAACGTTTCTTTTGATGACTTTATTTTTTTTTTCTAATTCATTTTTTATTAAGTTTTATCAAAATTAATTTTTTATCCACGAACACTATATTTTTCGGCTTTTTTTTGACCTGCTGGCATTGGCGCTCAAAATACGAACCTTACTTTCCCCACCATAGATACGCCTCTGACCGTGTCCAACAAATATGCTAGCTATCTAAAATTAGTAGGATTAGAATTATGAAATGTCATTGAACAAATAAAAGATATATTGCAAAATGAAATCTCCAAAATTGGTCTTTTTTTTTTTTTTAATCTAATTCCTAAAATTTATATAAAATTTGTATATTCGTCTGTTATCGCGAAAGACGATATTTTTACAATTCGTACAATAGAAATTTTTTTTACAGGGGATCGGCTATTGCTAAGATAGTTGGCGCCAATGCCAAAAGGCAAAATAATTTTGAGGACCGCGTTACTATGTACGTGTACGAAGAATTAATAAATGGAAAAAAATTGACTGAAATAATTAACGAAACGCACGAGAATGTAAAATACCTTCCTGGTCATCAAATTCCAGAGAATGTGGTAAGTACGTAAAAACGGTTTTTTTTTATTTCTTTTCATTTTTTTTTTTTTCTTTTTTTTTTTTTTTTTTTTTGTATCTAACTCATTGACAACTTATGAACTTATCAGTATTTTTACTACCATCTTGGAGTATTTTAACGTAATAATAAACAGATAACACGAAGCGAAAGCACTTATATATTTGTATATATATATATATGTTTCTCTCAATTGCTTCTAGATTTTATAATTGAACGACTTTTGAACTCTGGACCTTGATTTCAATATAGAATGAATTCAATACAGAAGAGATTAAGTTTAATAGAATTAAATTTTTTCGTTGATTAAAAAAAAAATATATATATATATATATATATGAAAAAGTAATAACAACATTATTACTTTTGAAATATTTTAACATGAAAAATGGTTTGTGTTTAGATTTGTATAATAAACAATTCGCGATCAGATTACGTAACACATGTTTTGTTATATTTTTCCTATAGCTGAAATATGGAGACTACTTTACCGATCAAACTAAGATCAAATGTCGAGATCGCTATCTATCGACGGATAATTCAAACTATTTTTAAAAATGTATGCATGTGATAAGTTATTTTTAAGTAAAATATTTTATCAACATTTTATTAATCTGTTTATATGTATTGTTAGGATTATAAGTTTATGACTTTATAATGATAAAAAATCATTTTATTCTTTTGTTTTTTTTATTTTTTTTATTTTTAATTCCTAATACTTTAATCTATTTTAACCTTAAACAATATTATCACAGTTATAGACAAGTTTATAATATCTTTCTCGAGGCATTGGCGATAAATTATCTAAAACTTATATTAAAACTTAAACTTATATTCTACAAATGAACACTTTTATTATTAGATAATTATTTGCCACATATCTCATATAAAAAATGTCAGGTTGCAGTTCCTGATGTTGTGGAAGCTGCGAAAGATGCTGATATTCTTATTTTTGTGGTGCCACATCAATTTATTCGAAGAATATGTAGTACACTTTATGGAAAAATCAAACCTACAGCTGTTGGTCTCTCCCTCATAAAAGTATGTTATATATGTATTTTATATATATGTATATATTATAATTACATTTGTATTTACATGTATATTTGATTAAATAATATTACGAATAATTTTGTCCAGGGTTTCGATAAAAAAGAGGGTGGTGGTATAGAATTAATCTCACATATCATTTCTAATGAATTACACATTCCTATGTCTGTATTAATGGGAGCAAACTTGGCATCTGAGGTAGCAGAAGAAATGTTCTGTGAAACCACCATAGGTAAATAGTGATTTAGTTACATCACAAGAGTAATAAATTTAATATTACTTAGAGAATAAGATTAGAATAAGATTCTAAGTATTTATTATAAATTTATAGGATGTAAGGATAAAATAATGGCTCCAATATTTCGAGATCTGATTCAAACATCATATTTCAGAGTTGTTGTAGTTGAAGATGTTGATTCAGTTGAATGCTGTGGAGCATTAAAGGTAATTTATAAAATATTTTTGTTTCATACTTACATTGTATCAGTTTAAATATATGGATTATGTTCTTGACAAGTTATTTTTTGTATTACTATTTTTTCTTTCGGATATATTTACAGAATATTGTGGCTTGCGGCGCTGGTTTCGTCGATGGATTAGACTTAGGTGATAACACAAAAGCTGCGGTTATTCGACTGGGATTAATGGAAATGATTAAATTTGTGGATGTTGTTTACCCTGGTGGTAAACTATCAACATTCTTTGAAAGTTGTGGTGTAGCTGATCTTATTACAACATGTTACGGTGGAAGGAACCGTAAAGTATCAGAAGCTTTTGTAAGAACTGGAAAGGTTAGCAAGATTGTAGTTATTATTATAATTCATATTAGATTTATAGAATTCCAAAAACTATCAATAATAAAATTATATGTATTTTATTTGATATCTTCATTTCAGACTATTGAGGAATTAGAGAAAGAAATGCTTCATGGACAAAAATTGCAAGGACCGTTTACAGCAGAAGAAGTAAATTATATGTTAAAGTCGAAAAATATGGAAAGTAGATTTCCTCTCTTCACGGCAATCCATCGTATTTGCATCGGACAGCTAAAACCTGCGGATCTAATTGATTGTATTCGCAATCATCCGGAACACATGTAAGCGTTTAATAGTTACAATTAAAGTTGGAGGCGGATTAAATTGAAGCACAAACATAATGGAACGATAAGTTTAAACTTGTGATGTCAATTCTTACATTAATTTTGTTTAGTATGTTGATTTTTATTTCTATCAAAAGCGATGTTAACATTTTAGCAGTATAGACCCAATAGTTGATAATAACATTATCTTGATATTTGTGCTTTTGAAATGTTGTAATGTTATGATGATTTCCTGAAATTACTAACATAGTTAGATCATTAAAAACAATATTTCACTATATTTAGCGCTATATGCGCTTAATCCGTCTCTAACACTATAATTATTTTGTTTTTCTGTAATCCACCCTCTTACAATTTATTGCACTTTTCTGGTGGAATATAAATCGCATGAGAGAAGATCTGTTGGTAATAAGAAAATTTTGGCCGAGTTATTTATTAAAATTTTAAAATAATACATTTAAATAGTATGTACAAATTCATTTGCACAAACATGTACATATATGTACATATATGTATATACATGTATACATATATGCATATAGCTATGTATATATTTATAGAGATGATAAATACGTGTTTAACAAGCGAAATAAAGAAAGCAGGTCTTTCATAATTTCTTCGTATTTATAAACGTTTTTCTTTTTTGCTTTTTTGCAATATGTTCTTATACATTGTATGTTTGTTTATAACAAGTGACAGAGCTTCTCAAAGTGATGGTTTTTAATTTTGATGAATCTTCAACAACAAGAACATGAAATTAAAAAGCTATCTGTCAGATTAGATTGTTATAATAATACAATTTCTAGAAATTTTTTGACAAAGAAAATTTGTATTCCAATTTATTTTGTTGTTAAGTTTCATAGATTCTTATTAAATGTTTATTGGATATTTTTAGTTGTTATTCAACATGAATTATTATTCAAATAATTTTGAATTCTTTTTTGACTCTTTGATCTATGATTAAAATACTTAAATTATCGATACTAATCGATATAAATATTGAACGCACATTTTTCGTATAATCAGGATTAAATATTAAAAATTTTTTAAATGGAATATATATATATATATATATATATATATATATATATATGTTTTAATTATATGATTTAATAATCTGATCAAAATATTTAAACTCGTACTATGTTCGTGTAATTAGAAGAATATAATTTCTTTATCGATCTGATTAAAAATTTTACATTATTGAAAAATATATTTCTCTCAACTTTTTTCTTTAAATACATTCCGTATATAGCAAAGATTTAACAGAATAATGTTGAAAAAGAAAAAAATTAAAAGTATACGAAAAAGTGTGAATAAAGAGTTACATAATTACTATATGTATATATTTTAATGAAATGTTTATTTGAACTGTTATATATTCATAGAACTAAATCGAACGTAGATAAAACAAATATGTATATTAACTCGTGCCAGTTTTTGGCTCGTCATGATGTCATGATGTCAAGAAAACGTTTATTATGTAGTTATCACAATGTTATTAGAAAAGAAGTTAAAACAGTATAATGTACCTAAAGAGAGAAAATATACGAATGTTAATTGTTAATACATTAAAAAACACAAAACAAAAAGACTTTGTGTAGTTTAAAACTGTGTTATGTTTTCTTTTTTCTTCCTACATTTTGCTAAATTTGTTCACGTCAATAAAACATAAATCTCTTATTGTTCTCGTTTATATACCCCAACATACCTGGATGTTAGTTAACATATATATCCTTTGTTAATATATAGGATGTCTCACCAAAGTTGAACATTTAAATTATTTCCTCTGCTATTAAATATAAAAAGAAATGAATAAAAAATCTGCAGAGTAGTATATATGGTTTCGGAATGTGAATTTAGTAATGATAAAAAAAATATTCTTCCAAGGTCATTTTTAATGCCATTTCAATGTCATCGCCATTTTTTTGTTTGTTTATTAATTAAGTTAAATAAATTTTTGTATAATACGACATTGTAGTTCATATCAAAGACGAGTTCAACGACCTGTGACATCATGATCTTAAAATGACCTTGAATAAAGAAAATTAATTTAAATTGGAACAATGTAAAACTAATTAAACCAAAAACAAATTAATTTATTTTATTAGATGTTCAAAGTTTCGATCGCCTGTATCAATAGATTTATGCACACAATAAATAACCGACAAAATGGTATTTCTTGACCATTTCTGTGATTTTTTCTTAGTTTTAATAACAACAAAAGTAATTTAAATGTTTAACTTAAGCGAGACATTCTTTATATTTGTGTACAATTTTTTTTTTTTGAAACAATATGTACAAGTCTTCTCTGTCGATGAATTGCTAAAAGATTTTTAACAGGTATGTAAAGAATTTTTCGTTTAATTATATTCGCTATTGATATATAGGAACGATGATGATGATGACCTCAACGCTAAGATGGGACAGTTAAAGTCACCAAGGAGTCACCTCTAATGAATGTACCGGAAAAACAGCATTGGGAGATCTTAACTTTTTAATACGATCTTTGAGATAAGACTTTGCTTATATAAAGTACTTTTTATATATTAATATTGAAGCAACAAACAAAAGAAAAAGAAAAGAATTTTAAGTCAAATTAGGAAGGAAGTCGCGCGCGTAACATTAGGGTTAAAATGATTTAAAATTTTATTTTTAATGGTTTAAATTTATAATCATTTTTTAAAATGTTTATACTTCCTTTTATGTTTCTTTTTTTTTTTTTTATATATATAATAAAATTTTGTAAAAATATATTATATGTAAGAATTTTTACAAGATATAATAATAAATATGTGTCGATGTTTTCATCATATTTCTAAAGCAATTTTATTATTCATAGACCCATTGTAATTTATAAATATTAAATTATCATGATTATCAGAGGTAATACAGTACAAGAGACCGAATAAATAGAAAAGAAATTAAAGAAGGAAAAAAAAAGAAAGTTCTTATAAATCGACAAAGCCTATCAACTATGCATTGACTTAAAAAGATCTTTATTAAAAATTAATCCTTCACAATTTAACGTTTGGTTGTATATAAAAAGAAAATATATAAAATATGAATATTATATTATAATTATACTATACTTTGTAAAGATAAAACTGATACTATAATAATATATTATAAATATCAAATTTATAATATATATGTATAATTTATTTTTTGATTTTTATATACATATATTAATATTTATAAATTTAATATAAATAATCGTGCTATACTAAATATGAAATTTATACATTATTTTTAGCAAACATTAACCTTCAAATATGATAATTAGTCCTGTAAGAAAAAATGAAATAAAAATTAAAAAAAAATATAAAAACACTTATAAAAAAAAAACAAAAGATCAGGTATATTAGTAAATTTTCATAAAAAAAAAAATAAACAAAAAATTGTTATATTCGCCATCGATAATATTAATGAAAAAGAAAAAAAATGAAATTGTGTAACGTATTAAGATGATAATAATCGATTCAATCGATCACAATAATCGAGCTCAAGGGTCTTATAATCGATCACGTCAAGGATTTTAGTACCACCATCCTTCCTCAGATTTTTTCGATGTATCATTGATATCATTATCAAAGAAGGTAGAGCTAATTTTATTGGACTCCCACTTGAGTTATTCGATCTCGATCATACTTGGCTATCATTCAAAGCATGCGCGATAGAGTTTGATGAAAAATAATTGGCAATCGTCGTTAAGGTCAACAAAAGATCGAACCGAATTTGCACGAGTCAATCGATTAATCAATTAGTCAGTCAGTCACTCAGTTCATCCATTTTCGTGTTGTTGGTTGATAATTATCGCTACGCTCATTTTTTTTTTTGGTTTTTAAAGTCGTGACAAACGGAAAGTATAAATTGACAGTTTTTAAGATATTTTATATATTTTCCGATTGTTTTACGGGAAAAGAAAGACAGAGAGAGAGAGAGAGAGAGAAAGAAAGAAAGAAAAAAAAAAGAATTCTTTAAAAAATTAATAAGTTATTCGAGAATAACACCGCCGGAGACCATGTCGGAGAAGTTGAATGTATGCGTCGTAGGAAGTGGTAATTGGTAGGTTAAAGCCAATTGGCAGTTATCACAATGACTATGGCCTTGACTTTTTTTTTTTCTTCTTTTCAAATCCACTATTGTTATCCTGTTTTTTTTCTTTTTGTTTCGTTTTGTTTCGTCTTCTTTTCTTTCTTTGTTATTATACAAAATGAGAATATATGAATCGAATGGTTTAATTACAATGTTTTATCATCATTTAAAAATAATATATTGTATGTATCAAAGAAAGAAAGGGAAAGAAAAAAAATGTTTGATAATACGCCGTAAAAGCGTTTATATACAAAATTTAATGTGTACACATTTTGTACTCATTTTTATATTATCTAACTATAATTTTATTTATCCATACAAGAAGTACGTCAGTTATGTACACATTTCCAGTCTGTATTTGAAACATTAAGAGTTGAGAATCACTGGTGTAGGTAAAATTCTACGGTTGAAGGACGCATTAAACGATACGATGTATCGTTTCAACGCACGGACATAGCACATTGCACTGTGTCTCTTGACGAACGTACGTATTTCAGTACGAACGTCAAGACGAACATTACGTACATCTCTTGGCACAGAATTGTAATTCCTCGAAGTATTTGAAAGTAGAACAGAATTTTCATTGATAATACGTACCTACATATCGTGATCTCTTTTTGTACGAAATAAAAGAGAAAGATTTTTCTAACTAATATATGATTTGTGAAATCGCATTGTAAAAACATTTTTCTCTAATATTTAATTTTCATTTCCTTTCTTTATCTTTTTTTTCATAAATTTTTTTATTTTATTACCTTTTCCTATATATTTTTCTTTCTCCTTTCTGCTAAAGACTCCTTTTTGTTGTTAATTGTTATTTGTTTTTATCCTATATACCTATCGTTGCTAATGTCATTTCCTGCCATATCCATTAGATCTTTACAGCTACCATTTTATTGTTGATTTTTTTACATTTTTCATAGATCTCTTAATTATCGATATATTGCATTTTGTACTTTATTCCCAGCTCTAACTTTTTCAATGTCTAGCCTTTTACAATTTCTTTATTTCAATTTGTATATTACTTATCTACAGTTTTTATTAATGCCTACATTTCTTTTTTCGCTTTATTTACATGTCTTATAGACATGCATTCACACTGCATTTCTTTTCTCCTTACTAACTTTTGTATATACAGGGTAACTCATTTCAAACGATATAATCAAATATTTCCGATTCTACTGGTTATGTAAAAAAAATATCTCGCAACTAGTTGAAGTTACAAAAAAAATTTGCATCGTTTTGAGTTAATTACAAAATGCATGTAAACATTTTTTTTTACTCGTGATCTTTTTGAGTTATGAAGGTCAATAGCTTTTTTCTTTTTTCTTTTTTTTTTTGTAAATAGATATCTATAATTTTTTTTAAATGTCTATCTATAATTTTCTTTTTGTATATTTATGTAACAGTGGTCACTTTTTATGTAGTAGCGGTTATCACTGACCATATGTAGTAATATGCTTGCTATTATGCATTATTTACGAGATTATCAACATCTTAACGAATGACTAACAGATTCGTACTGTACTAGAATTAATATTCCATGCTATACAAATACATTATTCATAAATCAGGCAGTCATGTATTTTAACGAATCTAACGATTGTTTTTAAAATCGTGCTATCGAAAATAAACTACTTTAATACTCAAGATGCATAGTAGCAGTTTTTTACTAAATATGATTTTTATTGCAAATGAATACTACTATACATATACATAAGTGTACAAAGAAAAGTTATAGACATCTATTTATAAAAATTGTCAACAAAAAGAATATTAACATATTTAGCAAAAATATAGACTCTCTCTCTCTCTCTCTCTCTCTCTCTCTCTCTCTCTCTCTCTCTCTCTCTCTCTCTCTCTCTCTCTCTCTCTCTCTCTCTCTCTCTCTCTCTCGCTCCCTCTAGTATTGTTTATTAAATATAAGAAACTAAAAATTACTTATTATAGACGATTCAATAAAAAACTTCGTATTAAATTTGTATAATTCTTGGGTAATACGTACGTGAAAAAATTTTGTAAATATACGTCGATCAAATCGATAATACTTTCATGATATATTCATTATTGTAAATATCATGTTTAAATAGAATTAGAATTGTCCACAAATTTTTCATGAGATGCAAGAATGAGTTATGTAAAGGATATATTTATAGAGCTGATGTATTTAAATACGCAAGAGAATTCTCTTCGATATCCATTATCAATTTTAATCCAATGTTTAGTCTTTTACATGTGGTAATACTACTTATATTATTCTGATATTAAATCTGCCAATATAGTAATATAAATTATACATATCTTATGGTATATCGTTTATAAAAAAATTGATAATAATACTAAAAGGACTGCAAACAAATAAAAAAAAAGGAAAAAAAATTATAAAAATATACTAACATGATTTCTCTCTTTCAGGGGCTCAGCAATAGCAAAGATCATTGGTGCAAATGTCGTCAAGCATAATAACAAGTTTGGCACACGTGTACCTATGTACGTGTATGAAGAAATAATTAATAATCAGAAATTGACAAGTATAATTAACGAGTTACATGAAAATATAAAGTATCTTCCAGGACATAAGCTCCCAGAGAATGTGGTAAGTATTTTTTCATTAAATAGATACGAAAACTGCAGAGAAGATTTTATTTATTTTATAAAATATAATTATAAATTTAATCAAATTTGATTTAGCCTGTTTAGTTTACATGAAAATGTTTCTATAAAAACATTAAAAATAAACAAAAATCTTTCTTTATATTCATTTAATATAAGTATATGAATGAAAGGATAGCATGTATATCATCATCGTTTATTATATTAACATTTTAATATTTAATAATCTGTAGTTGTACGAACATAAACTTTGCCTGATGGCATGGAAACCTTGTCAACTCCTTTCGGGAAGAGTTTAGGTAAATCTTCATCCTTTACAGTCGGCAGAATCATGACCTTTTCTCCAGGCTAAAATTAATGTTCCCATTAACAAAGATTATTTTTTTCTTATTGTTCCTCACCTAACATAACAATAAATAAAAAGAAAAAAATAAGTCAAACTCACGATCCAATTGGCAGGCGTTGCAATTTCCGGTTTTCTATCGACTAACTGTAGAGAGTCGATCACACGTAATATCTCGCTGTGTAAAAAATATTAAATTAAACATTTGTATTAAGAAAAAAAGAAAAGAAGATTATTTAAATAGTTTATTTAAATAGATTATAAAAATGATTTAAATCATTTGAGATATTAAAATAAACAATATATATTTTGTTATATACTATTCTTAAAAATTTTAAATTACATAAAAAAATTAAAATAAATACACTTATTTTTTTTTGTGCTTGTCATTATAAAAAAAGTAATTTTTATATCATTCAAATCCAAATGACAGAATATCTTAAAACGATAACGATAAATGCATATATGATTTAAATCACTTTTATAATCACCGACTCAATTGTAACTTACTCGACGTTACGTCCAGTAGAAGTCGGATAATGCATCGACAAACGAAGTCGATGATCAGGACTTATGATGTAAAGTGCTCGTACAGTTTGAGCAGTTTCTGGATCATCTTTGCTATCCTCATCGATCATATCGAGCTGTACTGCTAAAGTTCTATTTGCATCGGCAATGATCGGATATGGGAATGCTCCGGGAATATCACGGCAGTAAGATTTGATATCCTTGTTTCGTATAAAAGCATTGTAAAAATCGTTGATTTTTTTTATCAAATTCGAGATAACATATAATAAATGGATTTCTATTTGTATCATTAATGAATTATGAGTGGTGTACACTTACATTCACCCAGTCGACATGATCTTTGAGTTTATCTACGGAATGAGCTAAAAGTTTAACGTTACGTCGTTCAAAATGGGGCTGGTGAACAGCGATACGACCCAATTCAGTAGTACAAACTGGTGTAAAATCGGCAGGATGAGAGAAAATAACAACCCATCTGAAAAAAATTATGAAACGTTTTATATAACGTTATTTATATTTCATTAGAATTAATTAGATTATATTTCTAATCATTAGAGATATCGTTACTTATAATATAGTATAATATATTCATAATACAGTATACTAAATAGTATATCTATTATATTTAAATAAAAAAATTACATATATATATATATATATATATATATATATATATATATAAAACATAAAATGATAAAGAATAAATTTATTATATTCAACAGTAATGAATGATCAACATATTCGACATGAACAAATACAATGAAAAAGTATCACAGATCGATAAAGATATTACTTGGCACGTTAACATCAGTAAACAGCCAAGGATAATTTAGTCGTTGTTTTTGCAACAAGTTGCTATTTAAGATCATGACCAATGCTCGTTCGATTATATCTTTGTTCAATGTGAAAATATTATTTAATATAATGAATTTTCTTTTCTTTCCATTTTGATTAAAAATTCACGAAAAAAAAATAATTTTTCCTTTTTACTTCTATTTGATAACAGTACCAACTATTGCGAGTGTTCAATCCAATTATGACTCCATATCTCATTTTAGATAATTTAAATCAATCTAGAAATTTTTCGTCTAACCGCGCGAACCGACTTTATTTTTACTGATATCTACTAATAAATGAATGATATTTACTATTTCTCTTGATACCGACCGAATGGTTCAAAGTAAAATAAAACATGTCACGAGGATTATCGTTAATACTTATTATCAATTCCTATTGATGCAAAATAAAAAATTAATAAAAATAGATTTATTTGTCACATGATAATATAACTTACATTTTTTCTTGTTTTTATTTTTACTAATTGACATAATTATTTTATATCATTTTATTTACATTTTGATTATTAATATCCGACAATCATAAAACGATATACAAATTATTCGAATTTCTAAAATTATATTTTCATTTTTCTATATATACTTTATATACATACATGTATATAACCTGTTTTAGGACTGATCAATTTTGATAATATCTATAGGATAAGCGAATAACAATTTAATCTATCAAATTTATACATTCGTTTTTTTTTTTTAAATATTTGATATAAACGATTTTGTAATTCATTATTTTATACTTTTTATCTTCGATAGAATACAAAAATTATTTCTTTTATGTTGTAAATATATTTCATATATCTAACATGCTAATTTCTAAATATTTATCTTAAAATAATTCTTTCTTTTTTTTACTTTTTACGATTTAGAAAAATTATTCAATTTAAAAAAAGATATGTGTATATTTCTATAACCGACGTTAATTAGATATACATATATATTTTAATACAAATATGTAAAAAAAGGTAGTCATAAATATTTAGCTTTATATTTTACTCTATTAGTTTTAGATAAGAATATATAATATGTATTATATATATAACTTTACTCACGAATTGCCTTGCCATTCGTAAAATTCAAGTGGACCTTGAGTGGTCTCGGCCTTGAAATTTGGGATAACGGAATTTAACCTCATCTTGAAGAAAGAAAGTTTGAAATATATCACCGGAGACAAATGTGTACTCTGAAAGAGTCGAATGCAGACTGATGTTATAAGAGAGCCGATCCACAATATAACTTCTCTTATTATCATCGGCCATATCGGATGATACAGTTCTATCTCTATACGTGAAACATTAGGAGAATTGATTCTTTAGATGATCGAAATGGAAATGCAAGAACTATTTTCCGTATAAGATTTCACTTTCGATAAAATTCTATGTTAGATCGTATCTGATACAGTGGTATGGTATACCTGTATGGCAATGAAGTCAAGATCATTGCTAAATAATTTTCTTAGTGTGAGTTCAGTATCAACAACATTAGATAAGATAACACAAGAAAATATTATGTAATTTTTATCGAAAACACGTGGAAGTTGATAATATTAAACTAACGTGATAAAAAAGTTTTTTCTGAAAAAATAATTAAATATTTTTTATTTTTGTAACTCATTGAAAATAAGATTATACTAAAATTATTTTTTAATCTATTTACAAACGATCTATTATATTCGTTTATGCTTATATACACACGATAATATACAATAGTATAAAATATATGTAAAATATATATAAATAGTCTAAAAGATCTTGCAAGTAGTACGATGTTGATTAAATAATTTTATTCGATTTAACTCAGTATTTGTCGAGTTATCCATTTATATACATACACATACATATGTATCTGCAGGTTTCGTTTGAATATGTCGACCTTGAATGAATTTATAGATCAGTGTCAAGGTGTTGTTGCATTAATGCCAATCATATGCACATTAATGTTGCACTAAATATTTAATATGAGTGATAAGAAATGAGAATAAAGAAAAAATACTGCAACTGAGTGATAATGTAATCATAATAAATGATTAATCAATACACACACACACGCACACATATGTGTAGTGTACTTATGTTCTAATCCAATTAACATCAAATCCAATCGATAAGAAATGATAAAATAAATAATAATGAAATGAAAAAGATACTTTTTAATTATTTTTCATCCTTAGGTAGCAGTTCCAGACGTAGTTGAAGCTGCAAAAGATGCTGACATACTAGTCTTCGTTTTACCACATCAATTTATTCGAACACTTTGCGCTACATTACTTGGACAAATTAAACCAACTGCGGTTGGTTTGTCGCTGATTAAGGTAAATCATAAAAGAAATACATCACGAGATATAAGATAATATCACATGCATGTCTACATAAATTTCCCTTCAAGGGTTTTGATCAAGGGGATGGTACAAATATCGAGCTTATTTCTAAAATCATCGAAAAGAATCTGAGGATACAATGTCATGTACTGATGGGAGCAAATTTGGCAAATGAAGTTGCAGAGGAAAAATTTTGTGAAACTACCATTGGTAATTAATTAATTTATTATATCGTTAATTAATAACGATTGACAAAATGAATTTATAAATATATATATATATATGTATATATATATATACATTACAATTATATATATATATATAGATATATATTTATATGTATATATATTATATATATATATATATATATATATATATAATTTATATACATATAAATATATATCTATATATATATATATAATTGTAATGTATATATATATATGTATATATATATATATATAATTTATTTGATATATATATATATCAAATATAATCAAATTTATATATATATATATTTATATATTATTTATATATATATCAAATATATCAAATATATTAAATATATATATCAAATATAATATATATAAAGTTATTAATATGAAATATATATAAATTATGTATATATAGGTTGTAAGGATAAACGTTTGGCACCAATATTGAGGGATCTTATACAAACACCTAATTTTCGTGTGGTAGTCGTTGAAGATACGGCAGCTGTTGAAACATGTGGTGCACTCAAGGTGATAAAGATTTGTAATTTTCATTTTTTTATGACTATTCTATTTTTAATTTTTTCTTTTCACTATTATTATCACTGTAGAACATAGTGGCATGTGCCGCTGGCTTTGTCGATGGCTTAGGATTAGGAGATAACACAAAAGCTGCCGTTATCAGATTGGGTCTTATGGAAATGATAAAGTTCGTTAATACTTTCTTCGGTAGTGCGAAACTTGATACATTCTTCGAGAGCTGTGGTGTAGCTGATTTGATTACAACTTGTTATGGTGGAAGAAATCGTCGTATATGTGAACAATTCGTTAAAACTGGAAAGGTAGAAATGAAAATGACTTTTAAAATAGGTATTACACATTAATATTAATATATCAATTTATTTTTTATGAATAACAGAGTATCAGAGAGTTAGAGGCGGAACTTCTTTCCGGACAAAAATTACAAGGTCCTGCTACAGCTGATGAGGTCCATGGAATGTTGAAAGCTAAAAATATGATGGATAAATTCCCACTATTTGTTGCCGTACAACGTATATGTCACGAAGAAATAAGACCGGGTGATTTGATCGATCAAATTCGTATTCACCCCGAACATGTGTTAGTACATTCATGATGAAAAGAAGAAAAGAGTGTTCAAATGTTATGTTCTAAATTTTTTACAAGTTCATATATTACAATTTCAGAAAACAATTTCAATGATTCGTATATTTTCTTTAAAATATCAAAGTATACAAAACTCGTGCACGTTTTTCTATGGCATGTTGCATGACAGCGTAGTTATTTCATTTAATCGACTGAATTCTTAATTCACAAAAGTTTTTTTTTAAAGAGGTAAGTTACAAGAATTAATCTTAACATTTTAATCCAATTGATTCTAATGATTATACTAATAATAATATTTCAGAATGATAATACTAATGATTTTTGTTTCCCTTATGAATGTGGAATAAATTTGTTCATTGTGAAATCGATATAAATTATTCTCATTGGATTTAAAATTGTAATAAATTTAAAATCGTTTAATGATTTTAGGTTGAGAGTTGAGGGTGCTGAACAGTAAAAATCATAAGTGAAATATGCTCGTGGCAATTCTTGACTGAAGAATTTAAATTTACGTGAATAAATGTAGAATACATTTAAAAGTTCGATAAAGGCTACGTGATTAACTAAGGATCGTTAATTTACAGGAACATCCAATAAAATATATTGTATCTAATATATTATGAATAAAAATTTACTCATTACTGTTGACTATAATGATTTTGAATGAAAATATAAAATTAATTGTTTCTCTATTTATAGGTAATTTTTACATACCCTTGTAACTAACATAGTGCAATATATATGTATACTCTATATAAATTTTGAATTTAAATATTTTAAATTTAATCATTCACATGTAATAAATAAAATAACAATAAATAATAAATATTTCTACCACAATGACACTTAAAAGAGTTTTACTATATACAAATGTATAGCTTTAATATAATCATTATATACATAATCTAGCAAATTATCTTCTTAATGAACTTATCTATCAAAAATTACGATTTCTTGATATTTTCTCCGCATATAGATTTTTTGTTAGCTAGGTTACTTTGACTATTATCTGAACTAAACGAACTTATACACGTTGCATTGTCCGTTAGCATGTCTGGTGTGATTCGAAGAGCTGAAATTATTAATAAATAAATTTATTTTTATTATTAATAAAAAAATATTAATATAATTAATAATTTTAAGAATTTTTCCCATGATACTATTCATATCTTACCAAATATTCCAGGTTTCTTTTCGACTGCTTGTATTATGGTCATTCGTATTTCATGCTCAACTTCTTGCGCAATTTTATTCAACTGTAATAAGATTTTTCATCAGAGCAAAATAAAAAAATAACCTAAATTGTTTATATATTGAAAATAATATATACATATATATTACCTCTTCTATAGCAGCATGATTCATAATATCTTTATTTTTTCGGTACTCTTCATTTATTTTAGCCCTCACAACTAAATGATATACACTAATGTATCAATTGAATTTTATTTAAATGACTTTGGAAATTTTATTTAATAAAATAGAAAAAAGAAATAAAAAAAGCTATCCAAGAATAAAGATTTAGCTTATTATTAGAAGATCTTATATATATTTTTTATAAGAAAAATAACATTACCTCCCAATGCATATTCATCCCCTTTAAATGTATTTAACCTAGTCCTGTGTAATTTTTTAAATTGATGCAGTACCTAAACCAAAAAAAGGGAATTCAATTAGTAAAAAACAATGAACTTAACCTCAAAAATACAATTGGAATAAAGTAATCACATAAACAATATAAATAGATTACTTTTCTTCGAAGGATTTCTGCCATATTTTAAAAATAACTTTTATTATTTAACAATCAATTATTAAATAATAGAAACTTGAATCATTTACAACAATAATTATATGCAATAAATATCTAGCAGAAGATTCATTAGAGTACTAGCAGCATCTCACATTTTGATTGGATAACCTTGCGCCAGTCGCAGTGCCGTATTAAGAAATTTCATGAAACATGATTTATCATTAAATTTTCCAAATTAAATAAGAAAAATCTACTAGTAAACCTCTTTAGATTCGTTTCTCCAAAAAAGATTATTCAAAAATTATCAAAAAGAAGATAGGATAAAAAATGCTTTGAAAAGGATTATATAGATTAATTGTACAAAATTAGAATGTATCCATACATACATGCATAAACTCGAAGCATGTTCAAAATGGCGCTGACCCTGAGAAGAGAAGGAAGACCGAGCGGTTGAGCGAGTTTATCATTACTGCCGTATTAACATGGACGGGAAAAAATAGAGATACACAGAAAAATTATACGGGTGACTTTGTCGATTTACGACGATGGAACAAGGCGAGAATCGGCAAGCACGATCGGCGTAGAGATTGAAATATGTACGCTCGTAGATGTGCGTTTATTATATTGTGAGAGAGGGAGTGAGTGTGTGTGAGAAAGAGAGGAAGAGAGAGAGAGAGAGAGAGAGAAAGAAAGAGAAAGAGGCAAAAAGAAAGAAAGAAAATAATCTCTTGGCGTTGTGTGAAGCGCGTTGTCGCGTCGTGTGTCGCGTTCCCGTTTCCTCTGCGAGTCGGTGGGTGCGTCCGTGTGTGCGTGCGTGCGTCCGTGTATGCGTGTGTGTTAAGTCAAGATGGCGGCAACGTTAACCGTCGAGCAAGAACAAGTAAGTGATTGTCAATAGCTTAATCGCATCGTTGCACTGTCAATGAACGCGTAGAAATGATAAAAATCAACTTATGAATATTTTCATAAAAAAATCATTGTACATTATCAATCATATCAATTTGTTCTTTTACGTACAATATAAACGATATAAAGGTATGAGATATATCGGAGTAAAATTTCAATTTTCTTCTCTTTTTAAATATAGATATATTTTCGTTTTTGCGTTATAATATATGAATAAATGCATAACGATTTTTGGTGAGATATTAGACTGAAGTAGTATTAAACGCTAGACATATTTGGCAGAAGCTATATGGACGTGCAAAACTATTCTTCAGACGTACTTCGCGCCAACGATAGCTTTTACACTCTGCGCGCACTTCCTCTCTTCACGCTTTCTCTTATTATGAATCATGTTAGCTCTAAACAAGCGGTCTTTAAACATTTCACATGTTTTTTAAATCTTGTCTCGTGAATAATATTACTTTTCGCTGGTAAATTCATTTCCCTGAGACATTATTTTCTTTGACATTTAATTGAAATATATAAAAAATGTTATTTAAATTCCGTTATAACTATGTCGTTAACAAAGAAGTCGATGACACTTCACGGAATGAATCTTCACTCGTTTGTTCGTTGTTCGATAAATGAATTCGTTGATTTGATATAAAATATAAAACATTTCGAAATATTAATCAAAGTTTCCATTAGTTGAAGATCGAATCGATTCCATTTTGGCACCTACCAAATTATTCGTAAACATATCGAGTTAAGGTATTGAATTTCTTGACCCTGACATCGACTCCGATGCCTTTAACCGGTTCTTAGCGAATGGGATGCCGGAAATGATGCTTGGTGGGGACGTAGCCGGACACCGGAAGCTATATCGGTATACAGGGCATGTGCACAAATTATGGTGAAATGACCATGGGACATTTGAAAATATTAAATCTCACGTATCGTTTTTCAATGACTATTTTCAAAAGGACTATTTTCTTGGTGTCTTTATAAATGCGTCAAAACTTTTGCCCCTTGTATATATTATTATTAAAAATGATAAGTATTATAAATATTTATAAATAATTATAAAATATCTTTTATATTTTATAATATTTATAAACATTTTAATATTTATAATATTTTACGAAATTTATAAATATTTTAATAAATTATAAATATTTTTAAAAGAAGTTTTATTCGCCGTTGCTATTTTTGCAGGCTACAAAAGAATTTATAGAGGCTGTGAATAAGTGTCGAGCTGGCAGACGTGCCGGACCAGTTTCCTGGAGTACAGCAGTCAAATTTTTAGCAGCCAGGAAATTTGAAGTAAGCAGAGCTTTAGCTCTTTATGAACAGCACGAAGCTACCAGAAGAAGAGAAGGTTTGGCTGTTTTACATCCAACACAAGAACCATTACTCAGTGAATTACGTACAGGAAAATTTACTGTTCTGGTAAGAGTGCTAATAATTATTTTATAGCAGTATGATAATTATATATTATTTATAACACAAGTTATATAATGTCTATTGTATTATAGCCTTCAAGGGATGCAACTGGTGCTGCTATAGCAATCTTTACAGCACATTTACATCTTCCACAAAATACTACACATCAAACTACTTTACAGGTTAATAAATAATTTAAATTTTTGCTAGAACATTTGCAAATTGCTAGAACATTGAAAACATGTAAATAATAATTTAGGATAATTAACAATAATATTATTTGCAATATTTACTTTTTTAGGGTGTTGTGTATCAATTAGATGCGGCTCTTGAAAGTGCAGATACCCAGAAACATGGTTTGGTTTTTATTTATGACATGTCTGATAGCAAGTACCAAAATTTTGACTACGATCTATCGCAAAAAATTCTCACCCTATTAAAGGTAAGCTTCAAATACCTTTCTTTAAAACTAAAAACTAAACAAGTCGATGTTATTACATAAAAATATGACACTATTAGTGAAGCATGTATGAACGCTTATAAATGAAAACTATGTAATATGGATAAGCACAGAGTGCTTAACCTTACACAACAATTACATATGCACACAAAACATATTTTATTCCAACACGAAAGATAAAATCCTTTATAAGTGCATACTTGATTTTCACAAAGTAGTACAGTATTATCAATGTATTTTTTGTTGTGAGTAGTAATTTACGTAACGAGTTAATTAAAAAGTATGTCTAACACTCTTCCTCCTGTGTACTAATAGCATCTTTTATGCCATACCTATTGTATTTATTTTTTTTTTCTCTTAATAAGCCGAGCATGTGTCTCTGGAATGTAAAAAAAGAAAAAAAAAAATAAAATAAAAGGAAAATGCAAAAAGAAAAAAGACAAAAATATCTCCATTATGGATAATCATAGTTACGAGCGAAAGCATCGATATCATTGATCGGGTGATCGAAAGTCATATCATATGTTTCATTCGACGTTATTGCAATGAAAATTATGAAAACGAGTCGGTATTGTCAAGGAGCGAAATTCGTTACGTACTATTTGCACAAAAAAGTCTAATCATATCTCGAAAATGAATAACGCTACTTCACTTAAACATATTTTCACAGAAAATAAGTACCGAAACCCGATATTTCTGGCTAGAAGGTATATGAACGTCTTCACCGAGCGGTTTCTTACGATACACGCTCCAACTTGGTACACAGCTGCGTCTTCTGATCGATCGCATTTGCCATCGATAATAAACTCGTAAGACACGTCCGCACCTGTAGATTTAAATAATTAGAAAATCAGACTAGATTTTGTTGATAACCTTTTGAATGAAAAATAAGTAAGAAATAAGTAACACACACATATATATATATATATATATATTATATATTATATATATATATTATTATTATTATTATTATCATTATCATTATTATTATTATTATTATTATTATTATTATTATTATTATTATTATTATTATTATTATTATTATTATTATTATTATTATTATTATTATTAGTCTATATTATTTGTAGTCTCTTCTCTCTCTC